TCAATTGCCTAAAAGTAATGCGTATTTTGGTGCATCAAACAGGAGGGAACATATTTGGGATCTAAGGTGGGAGGTGAGGTGGAAGGTTGTTGGGGACTTGACATTGTCCAAGAGGCTGAAATGGATTTCCAACTCGGACTGATCGAGTGTTAACCATGATAAGAAAGTAACAAGAGAGCTTTCAGTTTGGTTTCCCACAAACGGCGTCAATGTAATTGCACCAAATCAGAGATCTTTCTTCAATCTGCATCTTCACTTCGGATGAACTTGCAAAGCCTTAAGGTGGGTCCTCGGGGTAGACACTTCGATGCTTAAGTCAGCAATAATCGGGTCTATCTCTGAACGAATGAAAAATGAGCTTTAAGTTGATTTCAATTACCTTTTTGACATGGCCCCTAGGCGGTATTTATAGGCCTTCGTGAGGTATCCACGTGGCTTGCTTAACAGGATAATCGGAGTATGACGTGTCCCTTAAGGAGATTAATTCAGGATTGACGGCAAATTCCGAATCGGTGAATTGTGTGATAAATCAGGTGTGGGCATGCCCACTGTATTTACTGTGCAGCCACTTGACCAGAAGTGCTGGATTTAACTTCACTGCGGCTATTAAGGAATTGTTACAATATGTCTGAGATTAAAGACCTTGGATCTATCCTTACAGGAACCAAAACATAACCAAAATTTTTATAAAACTAATCGGTTCGATTACTAATAAAATTAATTCGATTTTAATTTTTGATAAATAAATATTAATCAATTATTTTTTTAATAATAAATTATATTTTATTACATATTTTGTTATATTTTATCATAATTTTAATTTTTAAAAGATTTATCTATCTTTCAATTTTAAAAAAAATCAATCGAAATCGAATCCAAATATATTTGGTTAATATTAAAATCACAAAAATTAAAATTAAAAATTATTAAAATTAAATAAATTCATTTTTTTAGTTTAATTTCGAATAACCTATCAGTTCGGTTTCAAATGTTCAGCCCTAACTTTGACAAACTCGCCATGATAATTGGAAAGTCCGTGATTGTACGTTACTCAGTGTCTGCCTTTAACAAAGCTGCCGAACCTCCTTTCATAATTAACCACTGGAATGACGTAGGAAATGACAGAACCCTTAAAAAATATCGATAAGTATACATTTATTTTTAAAAAAAATAATTTATTTTTATTTTTTTAAAAAATAAATATATCTTTACTGATATTTTTTTAAATGAGTTTGAGAGTTTTTGCATATAAAAAATCAGCTTTTGCTTTGATTCATATCATAACAGTGACTGCTTTGAAAGGACATGAATTATGAATATGAAGCACATGGTCCAAAGTCAGATCCACTTGCGCCTGCCAAAGTTGACATTCATTGTTTTCACGTGGCCTTTCTGTACGTATTGATCTATAAAACACTACTTTCTCCCTCCACAATTATTGAATTTTTTTATAAAATTGAAATAATTTTAAAAATTAATTTTTAGATAAAATTTAAAGAAATTATATCCTATTTAGTTAAAAATATATTTAAAAGTTAATT